TGCAAGAACTACTAGATTGAGGATTCTTTAGATCGAGTATTTTATCTTAGGGTGCATCGGTGTTGTTTGTGAAAAAGAAAGATGGATCTATGCGATTATGCATAGATTATCGACAGTTAAACAAAGTAACTATCAAGAATAAATATCCTATTTTCAGGATTGATGGCTTGTTAGATCAGCTTAAAAGGAGCAACAATTTTCTCTAAAATTGATATTCGAATGGGATATCACCAGTTAAAGATTAAAGAGGAAGATGTTGATAATTCAATGAATAGATTTCAGGAAACAGTATGGACACTACGAGTTCATAGTAATGCGGTATAGTCTATTATAGTCTATTGACTATACATCCAAGTGGGAACAAAATGTATCAGGATGTAAAGAGTCATTTTGGTGGCTGGTTATGAAAAAAAACATTAATGAGTTTGTTGCTAGATGTTTCACGTGTCAGCAAGTTAAAGCTAAACATCAAGTTCATTCAGGATTGTTGCAGCCAATCTCTATTCTACAGTGGAAAAGAGAGAATGTGACGATGGACTTTGTGACGGGGTTACCTCTAACTCCGAATAAAAGAGATTCGATTTGAGTCATAATTGATCGATTAACCAAGTCAACACATTTCATTCCTGTTCAAGCTGATTTTTCTACGGAAAAGTATGTTGAATTGGTATGAACTCAAAGATTGGAGTATTGTTGGTCCGGATTTGATTCAAGATGTAAAAGAAAAAGTTTGGGAGATTCAACATAATCTCAAAGTGGCATACGATAGACAAAAGTCGTATGTTGATCTTAAAAGAAAAGAAATTAAATTTCAAGTCAGAGGTAAAGTATTCCTGAAAGTTTCACCTTGGAAAAAGATTTTTCGTTTTAAGCGAAAAGGGAAACTAAGACCTACATTCATTGGACCTTATGAGATCTTTAAAAGATGTGGATCTCTAATATAACAGGAAAATGCAAATAAGATATGAGTATACATTTTCACATCTCTTTGTGCAGTGAAAATTCGAGGACGAATTTTCTTTAGGGTGAGAGATTTGTAACATCCCAAAAAGTGGACTAGTGACCAAAATACAAATTTTGAAAGTTTGATGATCAAAGTAGAAAATTGGGAAAAGTTTAAAGACATAAATGTTATTTTTCGCAAAAAGAATTTTATTCCATAAATGGATTTATTTAGTGACCAAATTATAAATTTGCTAAAGTTTGGTGATTAAAGAATAAACATTGAAATGTTTAGGGACCAAAATTTAATTTTAAAAAGTTACAAATTGGTCACGAAAATAAGAAAATAAAAATATTATTTTCACATTTTTAAAATGTTGGAAAATAATATTTAATGATTTAATTACATGTTTAATTTGAACAGTTGGATTAAAGTTACTGAATTGTAATTTTTGGAAATTGCAAGGGCAAAATGGTAAAGTGGGAAAATATTTTGTCCATCTTTGACTATTGAAATATAATAAGGTTGTTGTAACTTGGTATTAATGTAAATATCAAGTTTATCAAGGGTAAATTAGTATGGATATTTTGATTTTAAGGGTAAAGTGGTAATTTGACATTTAATGAATTTTTAATTCATTATTTATAAAGAATGATGAATTTCTTCATCTTTTCTAGCAGCTTCACTTGAGTTCTTCCAAGGTAAGAAAACATTTTTTTCAATTTTTGAGTCAATTTCTTTGGAATTTGAGTTATGCCATGAAATAGAAAAGTGATCTACGCGAAAAACGCTATCATTTGGTACCAATATTTCTTTCTAATCTTGCTAGATTTCAAAGATCCCAAATCTAAGGGTTTATGTTCATAAATGGATTTATGAAATTGATGATAAATCTTGATGATTTAGAGGTTATAGATTCATTTTCAGGCTTGATTTATGGTTAAAACATGTTAAATCTTCCTAGAAATTATGTAAAATTCGGCCAAAAGAGGAAATTGTAGAACTTTGTGTTCTGATGGGATTTGATTAGGGATTTGATTGTGTATATGTTAAAAGGTTGATTGAAAGTTGATTTCATGCTTGAATTGAATCAAAATCGAGCGGAATCATGAAAACATAGTTTTAAAGGATAAAATATTCGATCATGATGTATTTGAGTGAGAAAAATTATGGAAAAGTTATATAAGCTCTGGAAATGATGTAGGAAGTATTCAACAGGCCTTAGAAAAATTAGGGGACCATTCTATAATTTTTGAAAAGATGGGGGACTAATTTGGTAATTTTAGAAAAGTTGTGAATGGTTGTATAGTTGTCTAATAGTTTATGTAATATGCTGAAAATTGCTGTTTTGGGATTAAAATGAGCGTTTTGATGTGAAATATGACCATTTTGGAAGTTTGAAAAGATTGGTGATTTAAGTATAACATTTACATAGTTGGAGTGCTTAAAGGTAATTGTACCTTTGTAAAAGTAATTGGTTGGTAATAATTCCATTACTGAAATTTATGGAATTTTTTGTATTTAAAATTTAAGTGATAAAATGGTGAATGTCCATTTTGTGTAAATTGGAAAAGTTGGTGCCAATATTAAAAGGAATTATTAAGTGTTAAGTATTTTGATATAAAATGAGCTTCAAGTATATTATGGATTTTATTTTGGGGATGTGTTTATGTTAGTACAATAGTAACATATATATCGTTATGAAATTGTGATTTGTATAGATCATGATTGATTTGTGACTAAGACAAGTCAAGTATAAAAGGGTTATTGTGGATTACAGTAAGGAACATCTTTTAGATATATAAAGTGTCAAGGTGAGTGCAATTTAATTTGTATTATTGAAAAAACATTGTCTTGCGATGAGCAAGTGACGGAGTTACTATGGTAAGAAGTGACTCCTAAAATGTTATTTGATTTGTGATGCATGCATAACATTATATATGGATGTTTTATACATCATTGGGTAGGATTTTTTATAAGTCTAATTTCCATATTGGAATGCATGATTCCATAAGTACAAGCATGTGATTGATATGATGCTTATGTGTGCATGAGTACATGAAAGTGTGTATATGTCTCATATGTTATTATATGTGACATGATTTACATGATTACATGTATGTGCGATATGTGATACTGAACTACATGAATATATGAGAATATGATATCAGTTGTGTGATATGTTTGACATGTTATTTTATGTGACATGATTGATGTGAGCATATGAGAATAAAATATGAGATATGTGGATCTAATATATATGAATACATTCATATATGAGCAAGATATGACATACATGTTTATATAAACACATGAGAAATGATATAAGCTATATGATACAATCTACATGATTACATGTACATGTGATATATGTGATATGATATGAACCTATGTGATATGGGTTATATGAAAAGGGATATATGAGATCATACAAGAATGATACAAGTGATGTGAACTGTTATAAATGATAATGCTCATGTTATGTGATATGAGAGCTAGTGGTATAGTTGACATGCCAAGAGTCGAGGGTTACATATGTCCTTCGGGACATAGATGACATCCTTCGGGATGATAGGTCCTTCAGGACATATACGAGATCCTTCGGGATAATTTTATATGCCTTAGTGGGAATTTATACGAGCTGTGGTGACAGCATATGTGCACAACCTCAGTGTACTCACATACCTTGAGTTCTCAATACTGTACATGGGCTAATACATGAGATTATAAAAGATATCAGTATTGTATATGGTCCTACAAAAGTTATCAAAAGTATACATGGGCTAATACATGGGCTATTAAAGAGATAACATAAATACAATGTATGTGATGTATATGCTTTGTTATATGAAGTATATTACATGATTTATATGCAATAATGTGCATATTACTTGGTGAAATGTATTATATGATATGTTACAAATGTTAAGTATAATATGAAATGTTTTAAATGGGTTAAGGATAATGATAGAGATCATGATAATGATGTTGATGTTGATAATTATGGCGTATGTGCATATATGCATTTTGTTATATGAAATGTTCTATAGTTTCTATTATATGCTTTATATGCCTCACTAAGTCAATGACTTAGCGTGTGATTAATTCACACGTAGGTTCTGAGAAGAGGAAGAATGATAAAAGTTATGCAAGACAGGTTAGTTTCTCCTTTCCAAAGATCAGATCAGAAAATAATTGAATGGTATGTATTTTGTAATACTGATTGTGTCGGCATGTAACTAAAGCTTTAAACTGCTTATGCACTAATAAGTTTTATAAACTGTTTTGAGATAATTTATGTAAATTATTCAGTCGTGTTTAGTAAAAGTTTAAAATTATTCACTATTTCGTACAAGTAAATGTTTTGAAAAGTCAATGTGACACCTCGGACTCGTATCCGGGTAGGGTAAGGGTTGGGGGTGATATATTAGTAGTGTTAGAAATAAAATAAAGTAAAAGTTAGGAGTTAGGGGTTAGTAATGTTAACATTGTAACTGTGACCGTAATAATGTGGATCGTATCTCGAAACGTATCACTGTGAGGTCATATGATGATTCGAATACAAAAAAAATAAAAGTTAGTGGTTAGTTGTTAGGATTTAGAAAAGTCAGTAAATAAAATAATAAAAGGGTCCGGATCATAATAATGCATGTCATACTCCAGATCGGGTCACCATAAGATCAAATCGAACATATTTATATTAAACAAGCAACAAATGATTAAAATGAGAAGCATGAAAATTAAAGCATCAAAATCAAAACATATGAAAAACACGAAAGCAATGACCATTCTATAAAAATAAGTCTAAAGCTAGGGGACTTGTCCGTGCTTTTACCCTAGACTTATCATCCTAAGCTACTAATAGAGACTAAGATGAAAAATAGATGAGTGAGGACCTCAAAATTTTCAAAATAAAACAACTCATGGGATTGGGTGACTAATATGTAAAAATGCTACAAACTATGAGGAACTATTACGAATTAAACCATAAACTCCTATAAATACCTAATTATAAATTAACCCTAACCTAAACTCTCCTTAAGCCTTTAGGCACCTCCTCTCTTTGTACTATTTCACTCTCATTTCCCTCTCTTCTCCCTTGCCCGACCGAGGGTCCTCAAAGGACCAAACTTCCACCGGCCACTCTGCTCTCCGACATCCACTAAAAAGCTCAAAGAGGCAAATCGACAACCAACCCTCCGAAACGCCTAACTTTCTTCCTTTAAACCTTAACCTAGCCTCCTAACACCCAAAGACCATGCTCTATGCTGTAGATCGACCATGAACTAGTGCTCCCACCACCATCAACGGTGGTCGGGCAAACCAAAGCTAACCAAGACCTAAAATCAAGGCAAACGACATGTGCACCTTCCCGGACAGCAACGACTCCGACAAAGACCTAGTTCCGAAGAGGCTATGTTCGACTCAGGTAAATGACTAGATCCTGTTTTTTTACTTTATTTTTTCGAATTATGAAAATTGAAAAAAAGACTGTTGTGTTTTCGTTTTTGAAAATCCAATACTTTTTGAGGAATGGTTCTATTGCTTTCATTCGTTTCCTCCTTTTGTTTTTACATTGTTTGGGGTTTTAAAGAACCCAATCTTGTTACCAGAATAGAAAAATAAATCTAAGGGTCTGTTTGTTTGGTTGCAATTGGTTTTCTGAAAAATGAATTACTGAAATTTGAATTACAGGAAAATGAATTACTGGAATTTGAATTCTGGAAAATAAATTACATTTCTGGAAAACGTTTTCAGGAAAATATTTTCCATAAAATGAATTACTTTTTTCTGAAAAACATCTAGAAAACGTTTTATGATGTTTGGAAGATGTTATTTAAACTTTTTTTTTCCACTAGTTGATGAGTTTTTTAAAAATTATTTATTACAAATATTAAATACAATAAATAATATTATTTATCATAAAACTTAATATTATTATTAAAATATTAAAATAATTTATATTATTAATATTATTTTTATAATTGTAATAAAAATATTAATATTGGTATTTTAGTGAAATAAAAATATTATAAATTATATTAATTATTTATTAAAGTAATAGTGTTATGTTATATTTTAAAAATATTAATTAGTATTTTAAATATCGTTATTAAAATATTATTAGATTAAATAAATATATAAATATATTTCATTATTAAATATATAAAAATTTTTATTATATATTTATTAAAATAAAAATATAATATCTTATATTATTATAATATATTTATTATTTTATTATAATATTAAAAGTATAATATTATTATTATAAATATTAATAAATATATTTTAAATATTTTAATAATTATATTTTGATGAAATGATATTAAAATATTATTAATATTAAATTCATAAAATAAAATTATTTTGAGTATTTATTATTTGAAGTGAAAAGTTCGGAAAATGACTTACGGAAAATCAGACCGTAAGTCATTTTTTAGAAAACACAAAGAAAATTATGTTGACCAGAAAAATGAATTACATTAACCAACCAATTTTCCTCCAACCAAACACTGAAAAATATTTTCCAGAAAACAAATTACGTAAAACAAATACGAAAAAATATTTTTCGAAAAATGAATTACATGAAACAAACATGAAATTTCGAGGAAAACCAATTATGTAATTCATTTTACAGCAAACAAACAGATCCTAAAACTTTTTTCTTGTTTCTTGGCCGAAAACGGTAATGGAGAGAGGTTCGGCTCAATGATCGGCGGCGCGGCTCGAAGTGTGGGAGTGCTATCAGCTGCGGCATGGCTCGGCTAGGGGAGGCTATCCGACGACTGGTACAAAAAGGGAGAACATTAGGGTTTCAAAATGTAATGGGCTTGGTGGGCTTTGTAAATTTTTTGTCTAATAATAATAATAATAATATTTTTTTGGGCTATTTTTACTTATTATTAATAATAATAATAATAATAATAGTAATAATAATAATAATCGGAAAGGGTGATTACACCACGAAAAGAAAAAAGGTCAAAAATAGACCATATATATTGTTAACCTCGTAAAAAAAGCTAGTTAAATTTTATATTTTGAAGATTATGAATCTCTAATATATTTACAGCTAAAAATTACTTAAAACTAATGTACATGATACCAAAATCAGCCTCCAATATTTATTAAAATGATTATTTTGGTCTCTAATATTTCATTTTGAAGTAAAAATATCTATTTGTGGATGGAAATTGTTTGTTAACAAACAATTAACGCTTTAATATAGAGGTCGTTTTACCGTAAAATGAAATATCGAGGGTCAAAATGTTATAAAAAAATAAGGGTCAAAATGATCATTTAATCAAAATTTAGAGATTTTTTATCCTAAAATAAAATATTAAGATCAAAATAACCAAAATAACCTTTTTAATAAATACTGAGGACTAATTTTAACTGTATACCGAACTAATGGAACAAAGGCAGCAAATACAAAAAACCATACATAAAGCTCAAAGTTATATTATGAAAAGCCGAAATCATAAAGGTCAATCCGCCAAACCTAAATACCAAATTTCAAATGCTAAGCCCAAAACTAAAACATAGATAAAGCCGTAGAGATCATAAAGCTTAGAGAACTATATACATGAATTATTAAGCCCAAAATGACCAAAAAGTTCAAGAGGCAAATTTGACTGAAGAAATCGAATAGGTCCCAATTCCCAAATGTATCGTTTCTCCCATAAAAAACTCATCTCTGTCGTTTGTCCAATTAAGCTGAGGAGATGATTTCTGTGTGTCTAGAGGAAAAACAGGCACCTTTCTCAAATTGAAAACACAGGAAGCTCTAATAGGGAAGAAGAGGGAAAAAAGGGTGCTTTTGGGAGCTTAGGAAGAGATTTGAAAGAAAAAATGGAGATAGAATTGGAGCCGAGGGTGAAGCCATTGAGTTACAAAGTGAAAGCAACATCTCGAGAGTCGCCTTCTCAGAAAGCCTCTCACTTACTCGACACCGACCTCAGGACTCATTGGTCCACTGCTACCAATACTAAGGAATGGATCTTGCTTGAGCTTGATGTAAGTAACATGATATATCTTTTTTATTTCCTTTTTTGTATTAACATGTGGAAAACATCTCTGGGTTTTTGTTTTCCTATCCATTTACGTTCATTTTTTGGGTTCTTTTACTTAATTTTGGTTATTTGTCCTATTTTGTTAAGGTTTGATATTTTTGGGGGGAGGGGCTATGTCTGTTTATTGTTTTATTTTGGCAATTGAATGATTTTTTACATAATTTCCCCTTGTTTTGAATATAAATATGAAGCCTGTTAGTTTAACAAACGTGTGCGTTTTGAACATCAGTTTTTTAACCGGAGGAATGATTGAAGGAGCAAGCTAGAAGTTCTACCAAATATTATGTAGATTTCTGTTTTTGATAAAATTGTGAAATTAGGGCACCATGAATATAATTGCGTGTATCCTTCTAGGATCTGAACTGTGATAATTTCATATAAGCTCATTTATGCTTTTGTTTCTCTTTGTTTCCTCCAAATTGGAGTTCTGAACTCCATTTACGTGATGAAGATGAGATATTTACCAATTACTACTGTGTGTAAACTTTTTTCCAATTGAGTTTCTTGATAGATTCTTGTTTGCCTCTGGTTTTTATTAGCATATATTGTTCAGATTTTCTAGTAATGCCTGAAAGATTTTTTTCCTCTTTATTTCCTCACAGGAACCTTGCCTATTGTCACATATTCGGATCTATAACAAATCCGTGCTTGAATGGGAGATAGCTGTTGGCTTACGCTATAAGGTTAGGTCCTCAATTAATTGTCATTTATTTTTGACTTCCTTTGGTCTAATTTGATTATTAAGTTGAAAATTTATCTGAAGATCCACTTTATTTTTTTTTATCTGTTTACAACATTTTTTATTCAGCAAAATGTGAAGGTAATTCTAAATGTCTATAGATTTTGCCAACTGGTATCTTTACTTATTGCTGTGTGATGTTTGGATATGCTAAGTTTTAGTTTTACGCTAAGCATCTTGCATAGATTTCTGTTCATCAGTAAAACTAATCCTAATTTTAAAGGTTCTTGGTGCTAGTCCTTCAAGTGTCATCTTGTTTTACCCGGAATAGTCTAATTATGCATAGAAATGACTTGCATTCTTGCACCTTTATTTGTTATATCTATTACCATGTATTATTTTTCTTGGGATCGGTGATTCTAAACTGCAATTTATGTCTAATAGTTTTATTGTATTGCCGGGTTTTCTTTACAGCCTGAGACATTTGTAAAAGTTCGACCACGCTGTGAAGCACCTCGCCGTGATATGATGTATCCTATGAACTACACTCCATGCCGATATGTACGAATATCTTGTTTACGAGGAAACCCAATCGCAATTTTTTTTATTCAGGTAACAGCTATATAGTTATTTCAATTACTACGTTGAACATCAATAATTTTGTGGTCTTTCCTTTCAAGGGGAAAAGGAAAATTAATGGGTGTGTTCCCTAACTGTTTCATGGTTAGCAATGGCCTGATAAATTATTAGTTACACAACAAAACCATTTTTCCATTCTAATCTTTCTGTTGGATCCTATGAACATGAGTTGTAGAAATTGGTGTATCCGAAGTACGACGCCTGTGATCCAGCACATATTAGGACATATGTACTGGGCCAAGATCCTCCTATCATGAAACCTAAGAAAATTGAACATACCCTTTGTCGGGTAACGAGTGTGATCCTACTAAAAGAACATGTCATTCTCACAAATGGATCATTTGGCTTAGAGAACCTGGATATATATCTTTAGAGGACCAAGGCTCCAGTAATAAATTCTTAAAATTATGCGGCCTGGCATTGTAGCAAGAGAGAAATTGTGAAAATGAGCAAAAATGACATTCTTATTTGAATAATAAGTTCCTGTACAAGTACTGTTTGGTGGTCACAGAAATACTAATTTCTTCTATTTTCCTTCGCAGTCTACATTTTTTAATTGATGATTTTGATAAATGTAAAAGTACTTATCATTTAAATCTTATTATATCTTACCCTGTAGTTGATTGGGATATCAGTGACTGGTCTTGAGCCAGAATTTCAACCAGTTGTTAATCACCTATTACCGTACATCATGTCAAACAAACAAGATGCTCATGATATGTATCTTCAGGTGAGCATCTTAAAACTATTGCCTGTAATGCTCCTCAGTTTGCTGCCTTGATTGTCATGTTTCTTTCTTCACTGCTTCTGATGCTCATTAGTTTGTAGTTGCTTCAAGACATGACGAATCGGTTACATGTGTTCCTTCCCCATCTTGAGGTACATTTTCTTCTTATTTGATCTGTATCTATCCTTTCTTTCTTTTTGTTCGTGTTGGTTTTCTGGTAAGTCCTCTGCCATTGCTTTTTCATTCTGAGCATATTTGTTGTTTTGCAGGCAGACTTCGCCGGTTTTTTAGATGGTGCTGATTCCAATTTACGTTTTCTGGCAATGCTTGCTGGTCCTTTTTATCCAATACTTAACATAGTGAATGAAAGGTAGATTTATACAGCCTTTTTTGCTTGTAAATTGGAAGCTTCTTCAATAAATTTTTTTACTATGGTTTAGACTATCTGGTGACTTTTTTATTTAAGTTTATGCTCCATGGTCTAATTATGCTGCAGAGATACTGCCAGATCTACATGCATCATTGCTGATTCTGAAGTTCCTAGAAATACTCAGTCATTGTCATCATTGACTATTTCCTCTAATTTTGAGGTATCTCATTTTCAATTGTTGTACATCATCTTTCTTTTTCATTGCAGTGGTTTGCCTTTGATTCACTAAGCATGATTATCTCTCATGGAAGTTGCGTTAATTTTCATTTTTATTTGTTTGATGGAATGACTTAGATATTCTTTATACTTCTAAAACAGTTTCTATATATTTCCTTAAGGGTTCTGGTTTCTATTTTTCTTAAAAGAAATATACAAATTTTAAATGGCAAGAGAGCTTGGAAGAGACAACACATGGGATTATATATGGCTTTTTGAAATGGAGAATAATGACTAGAAGTGTGAATTTACCTTCCAACCTGCGTTGCAAATTTTTTGTAGTGCTTCTTGAGTGCTGCTATATGGTGCTGATTGCTGGATTGTTAGAAAATAATATATATTAAGGGTTTATCAGCAAATGGGTGAAGGTGGCTCCTTAGTTTTAAAAAACGAGCCTAAAGTGCAAAGCGCTTATGGGCGCATAAAAAAACGCCTCTAAAGTTAGAGGCAAAACGAGATACAGGAAGACTTCCAAGGCACTCGCTTTTAAAGCTTTTCGGGGGAGGCGCCAAGCGCACTGCTTCAGCCGCTGTTATGCCCCTCACATTTTCTGTTCTTTCTTTATAGAGTAAAGATAAGATCTAATATAATAAATTAATATAATAAACATTATACTGCCGCCTATGCCCCTCACCCTTCTTTATAGAAAAAAAGCATTTAATATATAGGTAAATAAGAAATATATAACTACTTTTATATTTATTCAATAATAATTTTTATAGTTATAATTAATTTTTATAATTAGAATATTATATAATTATAATATTAATAAAATTTATTTACATAATTAATATTTTCATCTAAATTTTTATTAATATACTCATATTCTTATATCAACTTTAAAAATAAATCATTATTAATTCAATATAAAATATTAACTAAATAAAAAATTGTATAACATTTTTAAATAAAATAATAAGAGATTTCAGAATTTTACTATAAGGTTATAATTATAATTAATTATTATATTCACATATTATAAAATAATTAATTTAATTCAGAAATCAAAATACACCACTAACATTATTTTATACATGAAATTCTTCATACTTCAACATACAATCATTAATTATTATAGTGTAACCCTAACTTTGTGCTAAAGTGTTTTGGAAATTAGCAATGGTGAAGCAACATAGTGTGGGGAGGAGATTAAGTGTTTCAGGAGTGAATCAGTGGATAATAGGTGTGGATATGTTCCAAAATTGATTTATAAAATATTTAGTAAAAAAAGTGTGCCTCACCTATGAAAGGCGCATGCCTTCTACGAAAGTCGTGCACCTTTGCCTTGTGCATCGATGCGCCTTGCGCCTTTTAAAACCAAGGATGGCTCCAATTTCTGATGATATAAGAGTTTTAACATATATGGTTTGATGACATGCATCATAGCCCTAAGGATCCAATGTGATAAAGGAATGATTAAAACAAGCCAAATGAATTTAGTATGGCGGGTTGTGTGTAGACCAATTACTGTAAGTGAGTTGATGTTTATTTATTTTTAATAATTAGCTTAAAGAATTCATATAGCTTTAAATTGGTTTGAGGGGAGCCATATAATAAAGTCCTACTATTTTGAGATTGTGAATTTGTTATGGTCCCGACTAATGGATCGAGTCACCGAGCGATGTTTCACTGGGTTCTTTCCATGATTTTTACTTCTTCCACAACTATGACCTATGATTAACAAACGGAACTCGTCGATGGGAATTTTAGACCTTAGACTCGTTTAGAGAAAATCTTAGACCTTAAAAATTTTAAATAAAATCTGACATATTTTATTGATGCTAATGAGCCTCTTTAAATAGAGGTTACATTCCTTGTTTGAATAAAAGTCTTACTAAGCAAGCAATCCTATTAAGGAAAGGCTTCTTAGAATATAAATTACTAATAAATAGGATTTTCAAATAATAACAAACTTCTAATAATAATAATAAACTGATTTTAACAAAATAAAAATTGACGCCTTTAAACTTATATTGCAAGCAAATCTTGCGGACGTCGCTCGGAGGTGCAGTCCACGAATGCATCTGTAACAGAATTGTTGTTATATTTCATATCAGCTCATTTTAAGTTTTGAACTTTTGATATATCTCATTTCCTTAAATTATATTTTCTGGAGGTACTTGTGCATGATTCTGATATTTCTATGTATAATTCTTAATTTATCAGCCTTACAACTTCTATATCTAGCGTTATCCAAGTTAAAGATGTTCCCCTATGTTTGAGTCGTTGGTTAAGGAGATAGTGTCTATGGTAGCTGACTGGAATGTTATTATGAAGCATGTTTTGAGATGTGAGTTTGTGAGGCTGACGAGCTAGCAAAGTTAGGGATTGGGCATTGATTGTATTGTCTTTCTGGTTTTTTTTGGGAATAGTGCTACTGTTTTAGGCTTGTTCTCTAAAATTACTTGGGTCTGTGTAATTTGGAGATTTTTATTATGGAATAAAATTCTGAGGTACACTTTTCCTCCTTCCAATGTCCATTGAAATACATCAGTATTTCGGTGGTTATGAAGGGGGTTTTTAATGAGACCTCCCTCTTTTATCAAAAAATAAATAAAAAATAATGCAATAATGCATACATTTCTCTATTCTCATAGATATGAGTAACAGAAAACTAATGTATCTTTTCCTTCTTTGCATGGGAAGCCAAGGAGATCTCGTAATACATCATCTATTGTGTTATCAACTTCCAGTTCTGTCGTGTTTCGTCCAGATGCAATTTTTTTGCTGTTGAGAAAAGCATATAAAGATGATAATCTAGGAACTGTTTGCAGAATGGTAATGCACCCACTTGCCTTTTAACTTGTTAACGATGTTTCAGCTCAATAATGATATGCTTAATTAAAGGTACTTATGTCTTCAGGCTTGTAGAATGCTTCAGAAGCTTATAGAACCTGTTACAGCAGCAGAAGAATCAAACCCTTTGACTGAAGTTACACCAGTTTTGGATGAGTCATCAAAATCAGAGTTACATAATCCTCTTCACATGTATGATTACTCAAAATTATTTGGGGAAGAATTCCGGTTGATGGATGATCACTGGGACACTAGAATTCTTAATGTCTTGGATGTGGGAGCTGTGGAAGAAGGGATTTTACATGTTCTCTATGCTTGTGCATCACAGGTCAATTACAGTTTCAGGATATGATATTTTTTAAGGATTATTTTACTTGCTATGTTAATTTTTCTCATCTGGATCTATGAATATATATTTTCACTTTGTATGAATTACAGCCTCAGCTCTGCAGCAAATTAGCAGACAGTACTTCTGACTTTTGGTCTGCGTTACCACTCGTACAAGCATTGCTTCCAGGTAGACTGACTAAATCCATATCAGCTTTTATGAAGGTCATAACTTTAGTTAGATGATGAATTTGGCTAATGAGCCAATATTGCATCTTCATAAAAATTGGTAATTACTTCTATTTGCAGCAAAAATATGTCATCAAACATTTTTAAGATGGTAATGACCATCTTGGATTGAATTTCATGAACCTGTTATATTGAATGTATTTGCTTTTTTCCCTCTCTGTTTGGCATTGATCCTTTGCGGTATTGCAGCACTTCGTCCTGTTGTAAGCAGTCATTCTGATTATGTTGATGATACTTTTTCTCAGTGGAAACAGCCTTTTATTCAACAAGCTCTCTCACAGGTTGCTGTTGCTCTTTATTTAAATCTGTTTTTGGAAGCCAAAAAGAAAAATGAAAATAGCGTGTTGATGATGGTTTCTATTTCCGTGCTTTCTGATTGCAGATTGTTGTGACAGCATCTTCTTCATTGTACAATCCACTTCTTCAAGCCTGTGCCGGCTACTTATCTTCATACTCACCATCTCATGTATATAAATTTATGTTCATTTAATTATCCCAGTAGCAGCTATTAGCTTCTATAGCTCATATTTTTTCTTTATCTTGACTGAAGTATTCACATTATCATGATCTTTCTCTTTCCTTGACATACAAAACTTGCACTAACTCGTGTGATATAGAAATGGGTTGAATGCACTACAAATATTGTGTAACAATATATGTAACCATAAGAAAGAAATCCTGACAGCTTACCTTTCAAGTTAGAATTTCACATGCCAAGCACAATTTTTGTGGTAAATATGTTGACTCGGGAACCAACTATGCATGTGATACTGATCAAAATGTGATCTATTTATAATATCTTGTAGGAGTTATGCCCCTTTGATTTTGTTTTCTCCCTATGCAAGTAAAAACCTCCCTGTATCTCAAAACTTAGGTTTCATAATATTTTTGTACTAAAAAAAATCTGTTTGACCTCAACTTCTTCTACAGGCTATGGCTGCATGTATTCTTATTGATCTATGTTGTGGCGTGCTAGCCCCTTGGATACCTCAGGTCATTGCAAAGGTTGGTCTGAAGCATTTCTTCCTAGTATAAACTATGGTTGGTGATGCATCACTGATTGCCATGTCAGTTTATACTGTTCTTTAGATAAAAATTTATTTTTCTCTATGTTTTGGAACTTAATGGTTGCAGGTTGATTTAACTGTAGAACTCATTGAGGACCTTCTGGGCATAATCCAGGTATTATTACTAATATTTGAAAAAAGAAGTGAAAAATGGAATTCAAATATAGGTAATGAGATTTCTATGCAGGTGTTTGTATGAGAATAAAATTTAGGCCAAGTAGAATTATATGAAAGGTCTTTACAGTTTATAACTATGCATGTTATGCAGTAAATTGCTGGTGTACTTACACATGTCATTCCTTTGCTTGAGAATTAAATCAAATGTAAAATTCATAAAGATCTTTGTGTTTAAAAATTTTGAAGATATCCAATACATAGTAGTTTTGAAACAATTTATTTTGAGGAAAACACATTTCACTCCTCAGTATGTTAGTAGTATTTTTGCTTCAAATTTTTTTTGAGCTCAGAATGCAGATTGGTTCATCCGGCTTAAATGCTAAAAAATTATGGCATCAAGCAATATCTGGGTTGTGGTATGCTAAGTTTAACATATTAAGTTGTTTATATGCGTATTTTGGTTGGGGATATGTGATGCTTGCAACTGGTGCATTCCCATAAGACCAGTGGCCCAATTTGATGGCCAAATATTGAACAATAAAACTCATCCTCAACCAAAATATGAATTAATTGGATTTCTATTTTTTTTATTTTTATTTTTTTACGTATTATGGTCAATCAGTTTACTTGTCCCTTTGGGCAAACAGCAAACCCTTCATGCCACAAAATAAGATAACCCATAGCTAAGGCATGCATCATAATTGCATCTCAGGGAGAATACTCATGAATATAAGATGCCCAGAAATCTTGCTAATTGCGATTTATATGAGAGGCCTTATTTCAAAGACAGGCATCTCCAACCGTTTGATCATTTGGTCTTCAATCTATGCTTAACGTAGTGTTACCTGGAATTTTATGGTATTTGTTTCTTGTTTATTGTTCTGTTCACGTAATCAAAGTGGTGGTTCATTAGTTTTAGTTATGACCGGGCCTATTGATAAAGGGGAGTGTTAAGTAGTTTGACTCAGCCATATGTTTCTTTTTCTGCATGTACCACGCAATGAATTTTTTCTTGCAGAAATCGTTTTGTTCATTTCTCTTATGTAATGCAGTTGTTTTATTTCTCTTTCAAATCTCTTGCCAGGGAGCCCGTAACTCATCAGCTCATGCTTGCGCCCATGCTCGTGCTGCACTTAAGTACATACTGCTAGGTCTTTCTGGTCACATGGATGATATACTAGGGAAATATAAGGTATTAGATCATCCTTTTCTTTCTGTTCATATGTGTATATGTTATTTTATTTGTGGAAACTGCCCAATTTCTATATGCAAGGAACAGACTTACCACCATTGAATAATACTTCTAGGAGAAAATAATTGATTCAGTCTGGTTTAACTTCTAGGAGAAAATAATTGATTCATTCTGGTTTACCATTTAATACAATATTCTGTAGTGGAAATGGTGGAGCGTTTTCAGGAAGTAAAGCACAGAATAATTGATTTTATTGTCATAACTCATGTTAACTGTGTTATTATTCATATTTCAGAAAGTGAAGCACGAAATTCTCTTTCTTGTGGAAATGCTAGAGCCTTTTCTTGATCCTGCTATATATATACTTCAACAAGCAAAATCGCCTTTTGCAACATATTTGCCTTTCCGGAGAAGCAAGAGCAAGCTTGTCATATTGCCCTCAACATCATCCATTCAGCGACTCGGAAACCAGCTGTTCTTCCTTCTTTGGAATCTGAATGGAGGTGTCAATCAGTGCCCCCAAGGTATCTCATACTGTCATTTTATTGGTATACAATTATTTGTTCTTATAGTATTTTGGCGGGAAAGGTTATCTTGATGTTTGAACTTCTGTAACTTATTAGCGTTGCATCAGGAAATAATTTGGAAAAATGACCTATGATATATACTAGAGATTGATAATTTGCATCTTTTATAGTATTAGCAATTGCGAATTTGTGGAAATGTTCAGATCATTGCCTGCTTGGAAAACATGATTTTTCCTATATTTCCTTGAAAATTGAATAACTTCTCTGTATGTCTTTCAACCAAGATATAGCTGAATTCAGGATGTATGTTAGTTTGACTATTTACATAGTGATGGGTATTTTCAATTGTCAATGCAGTGTCCTCCTCTCAATATTGGAGCCCCGCATACAATTACCTCCAGATATTGACATGTGCAAATCTCCCATTTCTAAAGATGTTGAGTATGAATCCTCGAATGTTTCATGTGTCCAACATTTTGACTCTGATGGCAAGACAGAAGTGCCTGATACAGTCAGCAAGATGGATGTTTTAGAAGATGCTAGTCTTCTTTTTGCTCCTTCAGAACTTCGGAGTATCAATCTGACTAATGTTAGTAGTGGTCCTAAAGAAAACATCCTTGAATTAAACCAATCAGAGTTAAACTCAGAACAGAAAGACATTGAGAAAGAATATTCTAATCAATTTCTAAACAGTTTAGTTTTAGATTCTGGTTTCACTGCAGAATATTACAATTTGCAAGCAGACTATTTTCAGCTCATGAACTTCAGGGACTGTGAGCTTAAGGTATCTGAATTTGAGCGGTTGGCTTTGGATTTACACTCACAGCATGAGGTTTCCACTGAAAGCCATGATGCCGCTATAGATGCTTTGCTCTTGGCTGCAGAATGCTATGTCAATCCTTCCTTTGTGATCTCTCTTAAAGCCAGTTCCAATATCATGAATCAGATGAGCCTTAGTCGGGTTAAAATTCCAAAAGTTTTTGAAATTTCAGAGCTTAGAAGGGTTTGTACTAAGAATAAAAATAATTTGCAAACAATAGCTCATCTTGAAAAGAATAGAGACAAGGTTGTCCTTAAGATACTGCTTGAAGCTGCTGAATTAGACAGGAAATATCATCTGAAGTTGTCTGATGGAGATGATTGTCGAAGTTACTCTGCAGAATCTGATGAGCAGCTCATTGAAATGTATCCCTTTGATATACAGGCAATGGATGCTGTCACCTTGGTTAGACAAAATCAAGCCTTATTGTGCAATTTCTTGATTAAGAGGTTGCAGGGAGAACAACATTCTTTGCTTGAAATTCTCTTACATTGTCTTGTGTTTCTGTTGCACTCGGCCACTAAGCTATACTGTACCCCTTATGAGGTGATTGATATTATATTGAAATCAGGTAACTACCTTAATGGGATGTTAACATCCTTGTATTGTCAGCTCAAAGAAGGCAAGTGCCAACAGAATCCTGAAAAGGTACGTGGAATGCAACGTCGCTGGATACTGCTGCAAAGATTGGTAATTGCTTCAAGTGGTGCCGGTGTTGCATCAGATTTTTCTGTCAATATCAATAATGGTTTCCGCCAAGGGAATTTGATTCCTCCTTCAGCCTGGATGCAGAAAATATCCACATTTTCTCATTCTACTTCCCCTCTTGTTCGCTTCCTTGGCTGGATGGCAGTATCTCGAAATGCAAAACAATTCATAAAGGAGCGCCTTTTCCTAACTTCAGACATGTCAGAACTGGCATATTTACTCAATATATTCGCAGATGAGCTTGCAGTTGTAGATAAATGTGTTTATCCTAATTATGAAGATCGAAAGATTGAACAATGTGGTGGTAAACAAGTTTCTCCAACCTCTAATGGCTTTGAGGTTACTGATGGGCAGCATGGAGATCAATCTTTCCATGCCATATACCCTGATCTCTGTAAATTCTTTCCAAATATGAAAAAGCAATTTGAAGCATTTGGGGAAATCATTTTGGAAGCCGTTGGGTTGCAGCTTAAATCACTACCTACTGCTGTTGTGCCTGATATTTTGTGCTGGTTTTCTGATTTGTGTTCATGGCCATTTTTTCAAGAGGACCAAGCTACTTCACAGAGTTCTCATCATTTGAAGGGCTATGTTGCGAAGAATGCCAAAGCAATAATTCTCTACATACTAGAAGCCGTTGCTGTGGAGCACATGGAAGCTCTGGTGCCTGAGATACCAAGAGTGGTGCAAGTTCTGATATCCCTTTGTAAAGCCTCGTATTGTGATGTGTCTTTCCTTGATTCTGTATTACATCTGTTAAAGCCAATTATCACCTATTCGTTGCATAGGGTGTCGGATGAGGAGCAACTATTGGTTGGTGATTCTTGTCACAATTTCGAGTCTTTATGCTTTGATGAGCTTTTTAGTAACATCAGACAAAGAAATGAGAATGATGACAGTTCTGTTGCAAAAGTATTCAGCAGGGCACTGACAATTTTCATACTGGCTTCTGTATTTCCAGACTTATCCTTCCAACGTAGAAGAGAAATATTGCAATCATTAACATTGTGGGCTGATTTTACTGCTTTTGAGCCAACTACTACTTTTTATGACTACCTCTGTGCTTTTAACAGTATCATGGGAAGCTGCAAAGTTTTCTTACTTCAAAATTTAAAGGTATCTAATTTTATTCCTCTTCAGTTGCCTGACTCAGACTCCAGGACTCTTAGCGAAAGTGGCTCAGAATCTTTCTCATGGTTTCTTAATGATGTATTACCTTGTTCCACTCCAAATGAAACTTCAGAGAAGCTGGAAAGTAACAACACTGATGCTGTTGTCTTGAATGAAAAAGAGTACCATCTATCTGGAGAGGAAATAAAGGAGTTCACAAAAGACTTAGAGGGTCTTGTTCCTAAGCTTTATCCAACTATTGAGAAATGTTGGTCTCTTCATCTTCAGCTTGCAAAGAAGTTAACTATTACATTGGCACAGTGTTTTATATACTCCAGATGCTTGTCTTCAATTGCTCCGACAATTCATAATGCTGAAGGGGATAACAATGAAAATCCTTTGCCTTCTAAAGTAGTTGACAGGTTGCCAGCTCAGTGGAAAACAGGTCTTGAAGGTCTTGCTGGAATGATTTTGATGCTCCAAGAAAATGCTTGCTGGCAAGTTGCGGCTGTGATGCTTGATTGCCTTCTTGGCGTGCCCCTTAGTTTTCCACTTGATGATGTTATCAATCCTATTTGTATTGCGTTAAAAGACTTCTGTTGCAAGGCACCAAAAATCTCTTGGCGTTTGCAAACTGATAAATGGTTGCCAATATTATCCTTAAGAGGCATCCATAATCTTCATGAAAGTGATATTCCTCCTCTAGTTAATCTCTATGTTACAATGTTGGGTCACCCTGAACCTGAGCAACAGTTCACAGCGCTTCAGCACTTGGGTAGATTGATAGGACAAGATTTATATGGTGGGAAAATGCTGCAGTCTTCAAACTTTTACAATCGGTTAGTTTTGCCAGGTTCAATTCATCATATTCCTGAAAAGATACTGTCACTTTTGGTCTCTAGTACATGGGGTCAGGTAGCTGTTCTGGTGTCATCGAATGCATCATTATCCTTGAGGGCTTGTGCAATGGCACTTCTTGTGGATTTTATTCCATTTGTTGATAGGCCCCAGTTGCAATCCTTCCTTGCAGCAGCGGATAGTCTTTTATATGGCTTAGGCAGGCTCGTTTATCCTATTTGTGAGGGACAATTACTTAAACTTTCATTGGCACTTATTATTAGTGCTTGTCTATACTCTCCAGCTGAAGATATTTCTTTGATCCCTCAAAAAGTTTGGGAAAATATTGAGACTTTAGGCTTTTCCAAAGCTGGTATGTACTCAAGTCATTTTGTTTGTATAAATTTAGCTTAAACGAAAAGAAAATTTTAAGTTCATCATAATCATTTTCTTACTGGTGTCCCTTCTACAGAATACAGGCTTCCAGATCTTGAAAAGCAGGCATGCCGGGTCTTGTGTAGATTGAGAAATGGAGATGACGATAAAGAGGTATGTTTTAGTACAATTGCAAAGAGATATAGGACATGATATGGTACTTGGCTGCTAGCAAGAAAAATATTTTTTTTTATATGCTAATACTTGTACCAATATATGTATGTTTTTCTAAATGAAATCTTTATATATTGGCCCACAAAATATATGCTTATTCACTTGTAACATTTGTTATAATAATAAACTGGCCTACTCTATCTGTGAAGGTCCTGAAAGAAGTGCTCTCCTCAAGTTGCGCAAAACAACTTGACCCTGAATTTGGAAGCACCCGAGAGTCAATTCTTCAGGTAACCGTGATTATGATCCTGATGATTTTTTCGAGATTGAAGGCTTTCACTGTAAGGGGAAAGGGGGGGAGGGTGGAGAAAAGATATTCCAATTATGTAGAAAATAAATTGTTGCTTCCTTATCCTTTTTCCTCGTCATAACCTTATCTATAACTATTATCATTTATTTATGACAGGTCCTTGCTAATCTAACTTCTGTTAAGTCATACTTTGATATATTCGAAAAGAAAATGGACGAAGAGACTATGGTAAGCTGGATAACCATTTTGCTCTTTCCCACCCTTCTCATTTCCAGATACCATTATTTAATTTCATATGCTACAGGAACTAGAGGAGGCTGAAATGGAATTGGAGATTATTCAAAAAGAACCTGCACTGCAAGAATCATTGGAAGCTTCTAAGGGCAACCAGCTTCCACGTCTTGCCAGTAATATTTCTTTTCTTAATATGTCCTTCGTCATTCCTTTCTCCCCTTTTACAAGTAACATAATTATAATATAGCCCCCTGATGCTGTTATTTATCACGCAATTTTATCTTTTTCTCCCAGCTCCTGTGAAAGATGAAAACCGGCTTCAACAGATCAAGGAGTGCATTCATTCCTTGTAAGTACCTCTTCTACTTTGAAAGCTCTATGTTCACAAAACGAAAATACAATAAAAGATGGTGATTTTTTTGCTTCATTTTCACCTGCTAATCTAGATTCATTTTATTTCTTTTCTCGACTTTACAAATTCAAACTTCATTTCACATGCACTGCTCAATGACTTTGCTCACTTAAGTTGGAAGACATTTTGTATTTTTATAATCTTAATTTTGATCTGATTCTGTCAGAGAAAAGAACAAAATTCAAGAAGATATAGTAGCTCGCAGGCAACAGAAACTTCGATTGAGACATGCTCGTAAAAAGTATCTGGAAGAGGCAACTTTGCGAGAAGCTGAGCTTTTGCAAGAACTTGATAGGTTTTGCTTGTGTAGCTCTTTCCAGATGTTGAAATGATATAATTTTAGAGTAAACATGTCTACAACAGTTGCTAACAACTTTGTCATTTGTATGCCAGGGAAAGAACAGCTGAAGCTGAAAAAGAGATTGAAAGACAGCGTTTGCTAGAACTTGAACGTGCTAAAACAAGGGAACTACGACACAATCTGGATATGGAAAAGGAGAGGCAAACACAGGCATGGCACGATTTATTATAATTCGGCTTTATAGGAACTTTATTGAGTATATCTGTTTTGTGCCTTGCAACTTATTAGTGTTCTGCTCAAAATGGCTTTATTATCTCTTAAATACAGCTTTCCTCTGTTTTCTTTCTGTTAAATTTCAAAGAACCACTGTCATGTTCAATGGATGCCTTTGCATATCACATGTTCACACAATGTGATGGATTATCTACCTTTCGTTCTTCCTATTCTTTTCTACATATGCATGATTCGGATTACCATGCGACTTAAACTGGAAGTACTGGAGAATCAATTTGTCTTTTGGCTTGTCAAATGCAGAGAGAACTTCAACGAGAATTGGAGCAGGCCGAATCTGGACTAAGATCTTCAAGACGTGACTTGCCTTCATCTCATAGTAGGTATGGCTATTTTCATCCTTTACAAACTGATCATAAATTCTGGACTTTTCCCCCCTGCAGGCCAAGTCTTCATTCATACAGCATTACTTTCTTGCAAAGTAACTTACTAATTTGCTTTCGAAAATACTTGCACATTATTTGCTATTCATAAGCTACGGTTATATGGCTTGAAGAATTTGGCAAACTTTATCTGTAACATCATAATTGTTCGCTCGATTAAAGTAGGACACGTCTTTCTAGGTGCAGCCTGCTTGATTTTGTCTTCTTTGAATTGCAGATGAGACCTACATTACTTGGATTCTTCTTTTTCTTAAAGAACCCATGTTCAATACATATCCGGACATGGGATTTGACATTTCAAAGATCCTCCATATATATGGAAAAACTAGAAAAAAAAAAATATGAGATGTTTTAAGCATTTCATATCGGATTTTAAAAAAAAAGTTCGCAGCTAGTATTTCTATGCTAATTTAAGAATAAGGGGTTTTATGTTTATGCGTGTGCTTGATATGATTTCTGTGATTATGATGCTTATTAACCATTAGCTTTTATTTTTTTCTTTTAACAATGTTAACATGTGCTTTAATACAGCATTATTAACACTGCATGCTACTTGCGACATTGCTAATGCATCGTCGGTTACCTAACGTTTGCATCTACAGTAGGCCACGAGATAGGTACCGAGAGAGGGAAAATGGAAGATCGAGTAATGAAGGAAGCACACGAACTAGTAGCAGTCTACAATCCGAAACCACATCAATGGCTGCAATGCCAACAGTTGTCCTGTCTGGATCACGATCATTTTCTGGCCAGGCCCCCACTATTTTACAGTCACGTGACCGCGCAGATGATTGTGGCAGCGGTTATGAAGAAATTTTCGACGGAAGCAAGGACTCGGGAGACGCAGCCAGCGTCGGTGACCTAGAGTTGGCATCTTCATTTGATGGAGGGCAGCCTGGTGGTTTCGGGTCATCCCAAAGGCACGGATCCAGAGGGATCAAGTCCAGGAAGGCATTAGAGAGGCGAGAGAGGGATGGTCGACGCGAGAGCAAGTGGGAGAGAAAACATTATTGACCTACTTGCCTGGGAAATGGCAAGGCTTATTTACATAGGAGGAGATTTACAGGCTGCTATTGTTGAATCCTGAGGTGGTTCTGGTTCATGTTGTACCTGTGCTTGAAAATATGTAAAATATTGTTGTGGCTTCTGCCCCCATTGACCATATATATTTCGTCAATGATGAAATGAATGGTATTTAAACATTTCACAGATAGGGGCATTATTAATATTTTTGTCAAAATATGCTACTCCTTTGTATCTGAATATTTCTGGAATTTTCAATGTATTATATAGCTTTACTATGCTCAAATCATCCTCGAATATGTCTATTTCATTGACATCTTAAATCTCAAGTTTGACTGAAATGGCTGGTGAAATAGTCAAAGTCTACTAAACTTTTATTTTAGGTCAAATTCCATGTAGCGTGTGGTTCAATTACTTATTAAGTCCTAGCAATTTAAAAGAAATAAATGTTTGGTCTCGAAATTGATGGTTTAATTGCTTTTGAAGTCCCCGTCAGTTTTGAAATTAATACCCTAAACAGTGACTGAAATTTGTGAAGTCAAACTCCACTAAGATTTTGGTTTTCCAACTGAAAGATTAAGGTACGTGAAATCTCTTTTGATCTGGAATGCAATTATTTTTTATAGATTCTAGAAAGCAACAATGAAAATGAGTTGAGGCTACATCATCTAAATAAAATTAAGGGAAAACTATACGCGGTATGTCAATTATCATTTTTATTCCATTTGGTAATCTAACTATTTTTTGTTTCAAAATCATACATGACGTTAAATTTCGGTCACTCGTCATTAAATAGAACATAATTGATGATTTTGCCTAGTATAATGATCAAAATATGAAATGGTTAATAGAATGTGACTAATAGTGTAGTTTACCCAAACTATTATTTCGATTGTTGCTTCTCTTTAAGGCTTGCTTGGGATGATGATACAACTTTTACTTCTGCAGTTGTTGAGAAAACCCATTTTTGAAATATCATTTTATTTTTCATTTGTAAGGCTATTTAGACTAGATCTATTTGTTTAGTGGGAAAATGTTTTTTTTTTGCATTTTCTAGTTTTTGTTTGGTATAAAACCAAGCTGGACGTGCACATGATTTTATGCTAGGGGTGAAAACATACGAGAAAATACAAAGAAAATATCTAAAATACATGAGAATTTGAAAATTTCAGTGGCGACTGCCCCCTTCCGTCCATCCCTGAGTTTGGTAAATGAAGAAAGAATTCTACTTTTCCTTTTAAAAATAGCTTAGTTAAAAAGATTTATCCCTAAGTATAAGTTTAGGGATCAGTTTTTTTTATAGCAATGCACATTTTGTGAAAACAGCCAAACAATGGGGAATGATCTATGATGAATTTCTAAAAACAACTGGGAAGTTTTCTACTTTTAGAAAATAAGTCCATTTCTGTTGCATAAACTCTTACCTGCTTGGACAGGAAAATGTTCTGGCTGAATCAAGGATGATGATCCCCGATTGCCGCAAGCGGCTAGAGGCTTCACTGGCTGACCTTAAAGGGACTTTGGTATTGTTCATTACCTATTTATTACTATTATTATGATTATCTCTCTTGCTTAGTTCAATAGCAACTTTTGGAGTTATTGTGCTTGCTTAATTCACTGTTATTTGAGCTGTGATATGATTCTTTCTCATTGTTTGTTATATGAAAGTCCCATAGATAACAAACCTTCAGGTTTTGATAATATTAATCAACAATTTTGTCCCGACTGATTTTGGTATAAAAGTTAAGGTTGGAGAATGATTTTCAATTCCCTTCATTTGTTATGTTTAAGTATTGGAACTTGTTTTTGCACCAAAGGCTACATGGTCTGGGGAATGAAACATGCGTTGCTACTCCATTGTTGAAATAGCTTTCAGTTCATACTAAGATATGTCCCCATAGCTGCTCATTACGGCTTTTCCTAAACCTTCTGCTCCCCAAGAAAGCTGCATTCTGTGATAACAAATTGATCATGATTTTAGTTGAGGAAGTTAACTCCGATTTGTATGGTAATTTTAGCTGAACTTGGACATATCTTTTGTAATAGTAAGATAATTAGAGCTCAAGTCTTCTTATTAATTGATGACGAACATCCCAAATACTTTTGCACTAAATTGGAAGAGAAATTGATGTGTTTCTTTATCATGGGATTCTTGGGTTATAATCATTGTTCTACTTGGTTGCTTTTGGATTTCCTAATTTCCTATCAAATGGAATATCAAGTAAACAAATAAGTTTGATGAGTTACATATTTAATTCCAGGCTGAACTGGAGGAAGAAAATGAGGAGGGTCCAGAATTCGAAGATGCTCATAGCACCATAACGGAAGTTGAGAAGTTGTTTCAGACAACAGAGGCTTAGTGGCAGCTTCTATAAACAGCTGTTAATTGAGATGTGGTTGTAATTTTGTACTGATTCTATTGCTAGACAAAGTGGGGCGTATGAAATGCAGCTAAGATGATTTTCGTGGTCTGTATCTTGCCTGTTGTGTGTACTGAGGAATTCTGCATATATAATCCCCTCCAGTTACTTTGTTTCTGGGTTTTTCAGATTTAGGAAAAGAAGTATCTGGTGAAAATTTGGAATTCTTATATATTTGTTAGGTATATGGTGATGATATTAGAATATTTTAGAAATATTGATATATCGATGCACGGAATTGTACCAATAACAATACGTACTGGTATCAGAACAAAAAAATATGTAGTATGATGGTACTTTGCATGAACAATCATGGAACTACCTTCCCAAAGAGTTTGGATAGGTCTAAATGCTAATTTATCAACCACAAGATGTTTACACAGTTCCAAAATGTTACAGAAATAAACACAAATATAGAATCATTTTTTTCATAAAGAATGGCGGGACCCTATCCTTATCTTTCTTCTGAAAGGCTTGCACGCCTCGATGCTGAGGTCAACCGCTGCTGCAAGTCCATGAATATGGCCGCGTCTTCCACACATGTTACATGCCTCATTGCGAGCTGCACTAATGGCTTGCTACTTTTACCTTCCCCTTGGACTCTGCAGCTCATTATGAAACCACCGGCGATTGGACTTAATGCTGAAAAGTCTCCACTGCTTTGTGGACTTGGTACTGGAGTTGGTCCCTGCCGCAGTTGACGGTCAGTGTCAATGAAAAACTCCCCACCCTTTTCAGCACTGATGAATATCTCGGACATGAGAACCTCTGCTCCATCTTGGGATTCAGACAGCAAGTGAAACCGGCAGCAGATAGTGTCCCTGATGCCACACTCACGCCATGCCTCCAGCTTTCCCCAGGGCATCCAGCTCTCTGGCCTGCAAACGTCAGGGCGAACAATCAACCATGCTCCTGGGTTGGACATGGCAACCCAATCACAACCTGTTGATGGCACAAAAGGAGTGGTTATGAAGGTTGCCGCAACAGCCGAGCCAGATAGATCGTGTATCTTCACCTTCCATCCTTTCCTCTCTCTTCTCTCCATCTCTATGTCTGAACTCTCAGCAGAACCTGTCCAATAAGTGCCTAGAGGGTCCACCTTTGACACCCTACCATTTCAAAGAAACCATTAAGAGCTTCATTGATGGTAGACGGTAAACAAATGAATAGAAAGTAACAAAGAATCATATAAAGCAACTTATAGGTTTGCAGCACCTGTCTCGACTAAATTCGCAACTAAAAATCGGTTGTTTGATGGAACCTTGAAGCTGTACTATCTGAGGACTAAGCATAGTTACATCCTCAAACTGAAACACGTATCTTGGATCAGGATCACGTTGTACTCTCAAATGAAGTTCAGCCCCCAGTTTTCCACTCTCATGCTTGTTTTTGCCAATGCCAATCCATCCATTGAAAAGAATCACCGGCTTCCCTTGACCCCATTCTGGACCCACCTCCAACTTGAATGTTCCAATCTGCTGTCTCTTGACCCCAACACCACAATGTGACCCCTTCCTCCCTGTGAAGACGGTGATCTCCAGACATGCATGGGGGTTATAGAAACAGCCAGGGGTCTGTAAAGCCTTCACATCAGAGTCCTCTAGATAAAAGCTAGAGGCAATATTGTGAATATCAGGTGTGGCCTCAGGTGAGGATACTAAGGGGATTGACGTAGTTTGCACGGGGAAGCCTCGGAGTCGTATCTCACATGAACATGGGGAAGAGAATGCATGAATTCCAGCCTTTGAAGAATTCAGGGCTGATCCAGAAATCCTCAGACCGAAAGAGCCAATAGACAACTTGATGAAAGCCTGAGGATCCATTATTGTCACAAATATTTCCCCATTGTATAAAAAGCTTTAAGTTATGGCAACTCAAACCTGTCATTTCAGCAGGAAAGTGAAGATTAGATCACAAAAACAAATTGAGTCACATGTGGCAAACTTGTTGCCTCGCTATATGATCTGATCATGTCCATAAGTTGCAATCATATCATTTTAATTAAATATAAGATCATTTACTGCACTAGAAAGGAAAATTATTTCCATACGTTTTTTCAGCAGCGATAAATGAATCATCAATTTATTGCCGGAGGCATTCCAGGCCATGATCAGTGGTATGATAAATAAGCCATGTTGGTTGTTGCTTCCAAGCAAGTAGCCTTTTAAAGGGTTTTATTTGCACCTACCTGCTTCTATAATTTTATGATTGTTCTCCAATAAGTTCAAAACTTTACGGCCGAATCAAAGATGATTCAAGCAGAACACTGAAAACATGTCAAAGCTCAACCAGTTCATAGAAGTCTAAGAAACTGGAAGCATTATCGAAATCATAGAAAGTAGTGGCTGAAGTTAACATTATTGAACTCATAAAAAAGAACTGAGTTTCACAGATTTGCCAATTCTTTCACAAGGAAACCTTGTGTGCTGGTTTCTGTATCGATAAACAAATAAATACGCCTTGTTGATGGTTTACGCCTTGTTGATGTTCTACACAGCAATAAGTAAAAGCACATGCCTAGAAACAGAAAAGACAAGAAGCCGGCCATTTACGATATTATTTCGTAACTGAATTTCCATTAATCATTCTATTATCATGAAACTGATTACATAAAATGGAAAAGCCAGCAGTCTTCCCTAAATATTCACTATATACTTAGCTATTCAATCTGGCTTAAGTTATAAGCCAATTGACCTTTACCTAAATCAAAAGTTGACATGACTAAGCTTACATGAGAAAGACTATATAGTTTAATAAAACCCCAACTTTCAAACAAGAACCATACGGCTTA